GGACGCTTCCAGGCGCTAAGTGCTTTCTCAGGTACTTCCAGCGGAAGTGGTTCGAATTCCTCGCTCAAAGGAGCGAACTGTCCGCCGAGGGATCCGCCTCGAAGGAAGGAGAAGGATCGACCACAGCTCGACGTGGAAAGCGATTTCGCCACGAAATCGACCGCGGTGTCCTCGATCTGTCGCGTTCCGTTTCGTTTCGTTTCCATTGTCGCGCGATGAATAACGAGCCTCGGCGGCCCGAAACGTGAATCACGCGTACGCGTTTCGACGCAGGGGCCACGCAGCGAGAAATTTCGTCGCATAATCGCCGCCGCGGGAAACAATGGTCCCCGAGGCTGATTTGCATGAGAACGCGCCACGAATCCCCGAATTCGCCTCCACGAGTTCGGCTGCGACCGCACGCTAACAAGCGTGTCGAGCCTTGCAGATCGCTTCAGCGAAGGAAGATGGATGCCGGGTCACCGTGCGTTAATATTCATACGAGTGACACGCGCTCTTCTTTTGCCGCTACGACCGAACTGGTCTTCCACTGGCCAACTTGGTCGCTGCCTGAATTTCCCTCGACAGCGAATTGTCGTGGAATTCGAACGCGAATGTGAAACGCGCGCGACGAAACGGAGGATTGGTGAACATGGATCAGAGAAATAATAATTTTTCGTTCCTTTTTCTGGCGGATTTTTCTTTTTAGCCGTGCTAAAGCAGCGAATTGTCGCGGAAATGGATCAGAAAAGTAATAGTTTTCTTCTTTCAACCGATTTGTTCAACAGAGGTTCAGGCTTTCAAATTCTATTTGTTCTTCGCGAAATTCCTACAATGGACAACGAAGAAAGAGATGTCATGGACAGTAACAGTAAAAAAGAACTATGAAACACCGAGCGAGCAAAGAGGATGAAAAGCACCGAGTTTGTGAAAGAAGACAAAAGAAGAAATCCCAATTCTTTAAATTCCAAGCAAAGTGATCCTTGATATAATTTTGTAGAGAAGAATAATCTTTAGAAAATTACTCTTTGCAGAGAAGAAGTTTCCTTCGCAAGGGAAGCATCGAGATTACTAGATTTTATTAAAAATATTCGACTTTGGATTTGGACGGGCGATCAGTCAGTCGAAGCCGAAGACTGGATCATACGTCGTCCGGACAACATGATCCCACCAAAAATGGAAGAAGCGAAAGGAACGAGAGAGAAAGAGAGAGAGAGAAAGAGAGAAGCTGTTCTTCGATGTAGCACCAAGAATTCGAGGCAGTCGTTAGTATGCTAATGAGTGTCCCCCGTTTCCTCGTTCGCTCCCGTAATGTGCGTCTCGGTAGATTATTTCAAATATTTCTCAAACTCCATCTCTCTTCCTCTCTCTCGTTCCTCTCACAGATTCTTCTCGATCGACGCCTCTAGGCTTCGTGAGAATGGAGAATTTCTCTTTTTTTTTTTATGGTTTCTAAGGCAACGTACGAGGTTCTGTGTCGAAACGGAACGCAAATAAAAAGTGTAGATAGATCATGTGCGATTTGTCGACGCTCGCGCCGACAATGTCAAAGTTGACCCTCATTTTTTTCTCCTTTCACTGAACTATAAATGGAAAAGCAGAATTCTTTGTGAACGCGTGAAGTTGTACCTACCTGCGTTCCTTCTCAAAACTTCTTTTTCTATTTTTCTTTTTTTTCTTTTTTCATGATTCGCTAGAAAATATTATCGAACGCTGAAGAATATCGCATGTGTAACGAGATCGGGAATCGAAAAATTATTAGACACGACGGTTACTTTGAAACCGTCGACAAAAATTAAGCTGAGAGAAAACGAGGAATACTATTCTAGTGCTTCAGAAATATAACACATAAAATCTCTACAATATATTTAAAACCTGCGTGTAATAAAAATCTGAAAGCTTCGTTCGATCAACAATTGTCATTCTGACTGAGATATTCAACGCCACATAGGCAAAGAAAAACTGAAAGGTCGTCACGTGGATGTGAACGAAAGACCATGATGCGTTGCCAGCGCATTTATTTATTCGCTTTTGATTCTCACCTCTGGACTCTGACGTCGGTTCTCAATATCAGGACTCGATGCGATAACATCGAGAACCTGGCGCGAGCAAGCGATTCGCAGATCCGTGGCTGCCACACGTGTATTTACACGGTCATCGATGATAATATTAATTTGCCGAGCTGGTGCATCGTTTCTCATGCGATACGAGGCCGCGGTGGCGATCCACGAACATTAATTAAACATTCAATCGGTAACGAGAAATTTTCACGATCGAGACCCGGTCGCTTCGCTCCGGGGGAACGTTGGCTTGATCGATGCCGGAACAGGGGTGGGAAAGGGATCCCAGAAACGCAGCGAGAACGGTGATTTGTCGTGCTAACGGGAACCTGGATCGGTTCGAAGCAACCGGGAAAATGATGTTCAGCAGAGAACGAGGTCGTAACACGTGGTTCGTTGTTTCTCTGTTGCGAGAAGCGTCAAGAAAGTGGTACGTTCATCCATTGTGATTCAGGGGATAAGGTCAATGTGTTTTCTCTCATCCCATAAGTAAGGTGTCCGAGCGATATATATTCAAAAGTGACGAAATTTCTTTGAGTGTACACGCTGATGGAAGATACTAATAAAGCGGAGGTAACCAAATGACAATTGCGTAAAGGGAACCTGTGTCGAGAAAACCACGCCCAAAACTCGAGACAACACTCTGCCAGAGGCAACCGCTAATAAACATGTAAGCGTCGCCTCGCGTTATCTCGCAGGTGTCGAGCGTAGAACTCGGGCGAGAAAACCGTGAGGGGCAGGAGGGATCAGAGCGCGCAACAGGTCGAGCGAGGAGAAAATGCCGATTGCGGACAAGGAGGCTTTCAAAGCCACCGATAGGTATCCACACATAAATCCGTATCACGTGTACCACAAGCCGTATTTTCCCCGATCGAGGCTGGCTTCCCCGATCCTAGAAAGATCCCACGGGCAAAGAGAAAGAGAGAGAGAGAGAGAGAGAGAGAGAGAGAAGGAGAGAAAGTCTAATTTACCTAAAACGCGTTATCTAGTGGCTCGGTCTCCGGGAAACTGAACGCACGCCGCAGAAAACAGAGACAGCCCGTGGCCCGTGGTTGCCTTAATGAGGTCCAATTACTATCGGATGGGTCACTTAGTATGCGGTACCGATATTCCACGATGGTGCACCACATTAGTGGCACCGGTAGACACAGAAGGGAGCAGAGAGGAGCCAGGCAGAGAAAGAGAGACGGGAAGAGCAAGGATCAACACCCTTCGGGGAGAGAACTTCGCGGACTAACGAGAGAAAGATTCCTACTGGCTTCGTCCTGTCGTTCGATTCCACTCGTACGTACGAGTTCCCGCGCGCACGTGCGCCCGAGGAATCCGCCGATTGAATATTATTTGCGGTCCTTATCGATCGCTGCCGCCGCGCCACGGGAACGTCGAAGGACATCGCGATGAAAGCGCGGTACCCGCTTTGCTACTACCATTTCCCGCTATTCCTATCTGACTGTTCAACCTGCCTGCACTTCGTCCCCGCGAGGTCGTCATTTTTAGCGAATAACAGATACTTCATCAACGAGAGGAAAAAGAGGACTCTCGATCAAATAGAGCGAAGTGTGTCTTCGATCATGCTGGCGTGCATTTTCGTAAGATTATTCACTTACATCACGTAGCCTGGGGTTACTGGCATATATGTACGGGATATTAATTAACTAGATGTTACGGGATATTAATTAACGAAATGAAATCCGTCGCGAAACGTGACGTAATATATACAGTGGTCGCTGGAAACTTTTCTTACAAGTTACGTGAAATCTGTGCAAAACTGCATCGACTTTTCCTCGTGTTACGATACGTTCTTACAGGCTTCGATCAACGAGACTTTTCCCCGCGGGAAAATTATTTATTGAAAATAAAACGCTCCTCGCTCGCGCGGGGCATTTGCATATTGAGCGAAACTCGAGACGGGTTCACGCTTGCCGAGAGTCGCGAAATACGGCGAGATTCGCGGATAAATCTTCCTCAAATTGACCTGTCACCAGCTCTCCAAGTTTCTCGCGAATTTATTCCCCCGCGTTTCGTTGCCCGTTATTTTCCCACCTGCGGCAAATATTTCGAAATTTTCCCGTTCTCGTAAACAGGAGTTCGAAAGACGCAGAGTCTGCCGCAGGCATATCGATTAAAAATATTAGAATCGATAGAAGAGAGAGAGAGTTGGATCGTCCACCACCGTATGGCACGCAAGAGGAAATCGTCCTCGCCATGTGTCACGATTTCTAAGACAATTGGCCACGAAACCATCCTCGAAGGAGGACGATCTGAGATAATCGATTAGTCGCGCTCGATTCTCCCGTCCACTTACGGATTCGAGCCGGGCGAGCGTTTTTTCGTTTCTTTTTTCACGTCCATCGGAATGGGACTTTCTCACCTTCCTCGCCGATAGTCCGACGCGTACGTGTCTGTTGTACTCTGTCGCGATTCGACACGGCTTATTAAGCTTCCCGCCTTTTTAAATCGGAGTGAACGCGATGAGGCGCGACTCGAGTCGATACCGTGCGCGACTGCTGTTCGGTTTGATCGTCGTTCGCATCGGTGATTTCCAACGAGCGGGCGAAGAGGTCGCGCGCCGCGCCAATTTGCCCTCGAATACGCGTGTTTTTCTACTGCGTGAAAATCCGATGTGAATCAAAATAAGTGAATCAAAGTAAAATTGACATACGGCCACATGTATCGGGAATAATGGAATAATAAATTCGACAGAGTGGAATATCGAAAGTTCATGCTATAGATATAGCACTGGTAATCCCCGCTGCGATATATCTGTGTCTGTAGAACTAAGTTTCGGTCAGAGTTCTGTTACAATTCCAAAGTTTTTAACCAATTAATGTAGTTTTCACTTTCTTTTCTACGAAACGTCCGCGAGTAAAATACGTACAGTACGTAAGCTTTCCAATCGACGTAAACCGATAACAGGCGATACAATGAGAAGCTCAGACAATGATTAAGTAGATCGCTTACCTTGCAGCCTTCGCAAGTGAACGCCCCGAAATGAAAACCGGCCGCTGGTTCCCCGCAAACTTTACACACTTGGTTCATCTGCAATAATATAGAAATTATATTATTCGAAGGATAAAGCGGTGCGTCGTGTCAGTCAGTCAGTCAGTCAGTCAGTCAGTCAGTCAGTCAGTCAGTCAGTTAGCACGGCTGATCCTTGGCGAGATAAAGAGACGATGAGACTTGTATACCAAGCATGGGGGAGGAGGAAGAGGAGGAAGAGAAGGAGTAGGTGGTTGTGGAAGAGCGAACAGACGAGAGGGAAGAACGGGGTAAGGAGAAAAGAGAGAAAGAGAGAGAGGGATGACGAACCGGTTCTCCACGTTCGCTTCGATTTTTATTCCTCCCACAATATCTTACGGATGTTCGAATGCTATTTGGATTACCGGGAAGAGGAGAGCTTGAAAAATTATTCTCCCTGGCTCGGCGGAGCCGCTTTCTTTACGACCATTATCGCCCCTGACACGGTTCAACGTTGCGCTAATGCTTCAGGCATCCTCCACACACGACGATCGATTTCGTTCGCGTTCTCATCGTGCCTGTCTTCATTCCCGCATTGTTTCGTTCGACGTGATCTTTGACTCCGCTTCGAGTACAGTTTATATTCCCTTTAGCAGCGTGCGCCGTCGCATTTTCGTTGCACCCGTTCGTTGTCACTTCTATTAATAACGGAGCGCCATTAGCAGTCTTTCTGTCGGAACCTATCTCCTTCTATTTTGTTCTTCTTTTTTTTTTTTCTATAGCAAGATCCGTTGTCAGTAACGACAACCGAGTTTGATCACCAGTGAACTATGGCGTTCATAAATCAGCGCTATCTATCGGCAAGAGTCACACCGGCAAGCGATGCTCGATCGCCAGGGCAAAACTGGAATAAAATTAGACCATCGGCGAACCGATAAGGGAACACAACCTATGAGGGGCCTCGAACGCACCTGGCTAGCTTTAATGTCGCGGCACTTGGCGTTCATCTCGGCCAAAGATGGCCGGTCTCAAATCGTTCGGTCGACGCACGAGACCTTGCGAAACACGTCCGAACCGAGCGTTTTCTAATATGCCGGCTGCAAAAGGTTTAATCACATAATTGTGACTAGGCCTTTTGAAATTCAACGGGGACGTCGCGCTGCTTCCAATTCGAGACGATTGTTCGTTCAGCTTCCTCCAAGAAACGATTATACTCGGATGGAGTCTCGCGTCCGAAAATTTTCTTCTTTTTCCAACCGCGATTCATTCACGAATGAATGTTCCACCGGAGGCGACTCGATAAGAAGAAACGAAGAGGTCGTGGCGAGGTGGGCATCGTAACGCAATAACCATGGGTGGTTAATCGTCCGGGAAGACGCGTTTTTTGCCGACAGCTGGTTTTAACGAGAATTCAAAGGGAGGGTAATTAGAGTCGAGCCGTGACGCGAGCCGCTTCTAATCGTCCCCTACCCGCCCCCACCGCGATTGTTCTTCCAAAGGAATGGAGCTGGCGCCCCGCGAACGGGGGCAGCAGTCTCTTCGCGAGATGAAACGACGAAGAAAGAAGAAACGGAGAAACGCCGCGAAGCTTCGACACGGAGGGAAGAGAGATCGACAGACAGAGAAAAAGAAGAGTCGACTCGCTGGTTCGTTAAGGTCTCCGAGTTTTTTCTCGACGCAGTTGCTTGACGCCCGCTCTTTCTTTCATCCCGCTTGCTGATGAGCCGAGACCGTCCTCCTCTTTTCCTCTCCCTCGCCGCGGAGAAACCAACAGAGACCACTACGTGTCTCGCCTTTTCTTTTTCTTTTCTCTTCGTCATCTCGCGCCACGACAATGACCTACTCGCTCGTCCAGAGATTTTCGAATCGCTTCGCCGGAAGTCGTTCGCCTTCCCTACACGTTGTCTTGAACGATTGGAAGTATTTTTTTTTCTCTCTCTCTCTCTCTCTCTCTCTCGCGGCTATCGCGAGCTATCGTTTTTCTTGCGACTGATGAAGTTGGAGCGATTATCGAGCAACCTGCGAGAAATGCGTTTGAAATGCTAAGGATGAGATAAGGAAAGATTTTTCTTCTTTCAGTTTGTGTACTATGTATAATTTTTCATAAATTTATGAAAAAGAAGAATCTTCGAGTATTTACATGTTCCTTGCATTATGCATTTTCTCACATACCATCCGTTGTGTCAATTTTATCGACACAAACATTGTTTCCAACGCGTTAATTGCGTCGCGAGAAACTTGAATATTCACGCTACGGATTTGCGTAGCAATCTAGGCACGCAAATCCATCTTTCGAAAGCAAAGAGAGATATGGCTGCTTTATTGCCAGAAGACATCTCGCTGGCGAATGATGCGTCGAAAATAAGACGATAGGAGTAGAAGAAACGGTTGTGTAACCGATTATTTATATTACGGCTGATGATATAAAACCGCGATACACCTGACGAACAGCGTGCTAAAAGCTGCAATATATTATGTCACCTAAAGATTGCATTGCAATATATTATGTCACCTAAAGGTTGCACGATGCTCATCCTCCTTGACCACGGTCCAACAATATTGCGTTATAATTTCATTTTAAGCCACGAAACATCCCTCTCTATCAATCTTCCTTATTATTACCTAGAAAAAAAGGAACGTCAGGCTCAACTCGTCTCCGTCCACGAATTCACATTACTCCGCCAAAAGCGAATTACTCACTTCTCGTGGAAGCGTTTCAACGTTACATAAAACATCTCAGAGATTTCATTAGCACTGTAATGAGACTGTAATTATCGTGATTACGTTGGTAAAGTTTGAAGCGAATCTGGAAATTGTTGAGGAGGCATACAAAGTACGTAGACAGTCAAGTATTATACTTTGGCAGAAAGTTTTCTCGATCAAACACAAGGTGGTCAAACGCATTTGAAAACGGTGAAATCTTTCAGGTACAGAACGTCGTTCTACTTGTTTGAAATATAGAATTGGAAGTTTCAATTTCTATCATAATACTTACGTTTGATTGAAAACTTTTCGCCAAGGGTAGTATTAACATTCGATCGGAGCCACCTTTAGCTTTAAAGTAAATTAAAGTAATTTTTATCGTTAAACAGCACATTTTTTCCAAATCGATCAATTTTTTTCAAATTTGGCAATTCGCGGTGTCAACGAAATGTCAAAGTGTTTCGTCCACATGTAACACGTGTAACGCACGTAATATGTGTATGCGTCGGTAATTGAAATTCGAAAAAAAAAAAAAAAACATTTCGAGCCCTGACATTTGATAGCCGCACCGGAACGCTCGATGCAACGAAATCGAAACACAATCCTGCGTCGGTCATAATTCCATTTCAAGGCGGCCAGAAACAGCGAGCGGAACGCGTGAGAATGCTCGCGAAGCTTTCGGGCTCGTAAGCGAGCGGATATCTTTCTCTTTCTCTCTCTCTTGTTGAGAAAAACAGAGAGACGTGAAGGATGAAAGGTTAAGCGGTGCAAAAACGGGGCGCGGAGCTAATATCGGGACGTGTTGTTTCCATCGATGCGCAACCGCGTGAGGAATATTCGAGCCGCGGCGTGCACGCAGCCCGACGTTGATTAACAGTGGTCTCGCGATTAACAGTAAATCACAGAGCGCATCGACTCAGCCTTCTCGTAACCGTATCCGTGGCCGGTAACCGACTGGTGACTATAACCAGCGAACGGTACCATTTAAGTAGCCGAGCCTATTGATTTTACAAAGGATCTGGACGCGCGCGCGTGCACGGTATCGATATCGATTCTATCCCACGAGCACCGATCCCCCGATTCGTGCCAAGGCTGTGTTCTCGTCTTTTGCCAAGAATCCATCTTCTTGCCCTAAACTGTCTCGCCAAGTCTCTCTTCGGGATGAAGAAAAAGAAACGATTCAGAAACTGAGTTGTTAAAAGTTCAACTTGAATTTAAATAAGTTACAAGTTGATAAAGTTATCTCAGATCAGTTGTTGAATCTGAATAGATTGTTATTTCGCTAACCTTCAAGCTTCCTAGCATAAAATTTCCATCGGAGAGGGAACAGAAAATCTTCACAATAATTATAAACATGTTATACACAAGCTTTTATTTGTGTATTTTACGAAGAATCGTTCGAGTATCTAGAAAATATCTAACGAAAATTGCCAATTGTGGCCATTTTGTGTGACGTCTTCGTATTTAAAAATTTCCCCCAATTCAAAGTGTTTCTAATGGTAGAAACTTGGTTGTACGTTAGCGAGACAATAGGAATTCCCCAAGAATGCTGGCAGAATTCCCCGGCATTAATATTCATATACACGGTACAACCGATGCGAGGGTATTTACGGAAACGATCGCTCCACCTTCCGTGAAATTTCTTCCCATGGCAAAGGATGCCGGTCGCCGGTGCTCGGAGCAGCATCTTCCCGGTGCAGCAGGTCGGGGCAAGGAGACGCTTATCACCGTGGCACGAAGCATCAGATAACGCGCGAACTACCAGCCAAGGAGCGTTCCCGCTTGCATTGATATGCAAAAATACCCCGAAGCGGTGCGCGCCGCGAGAGGAGCAACAAGACCGACTCCATAATCTGGCCATCGACGTCTCATTGGTCCCCGGCGGATGTTGCACAAAGGTAAAGCGCTCCGAGGAGGAGCGGCTCGCTCCGTCTATGTACACACGCGCACACCTCGTACCCTAGTTTCCACGAGAGGAGTCAATATTTGCTCGGCACTCGTTCGTTAATGAAGTCGACCTGCTCCAAATATCCGCTTACCGAGCAAACGACAGAGAGACGGTGCTTTCCAGCTGGTGCAACGAGAACGCGAGAAAGGGGCAACGAAAGAGGAGGAAGGGGTGAGGAAAAGGGAGAGAACCCCTCCTGTCATCGTCTCGACTCGTCCTGCGACACACCACGTGCACGTCCAGAGGCACGTCGAACGTTTACGCGCCATTAAACTCGAGTCCCGTGTGACGTTTATTCCTTTATGAGAGTTTTTCTCGTTTCTCTTTTCATCTCGCCGATCCCTCGGCTGACTTCCTGCCATTGTCCTTTCATCCCTGAAGTTCAACCCTTTGCTCGACCGAGTTCTTGTATTTCCTTTTTTTCTTTTTC